AAGCAATCATCTTCATGTTTCCTAACAATAACATCTATTTTATATCCTGTATGATCCACTTTATATGAATCTGTGGGTTTACTGCTGAAAAGTTTCCAAATCAACTGAAGTAAATTGAATTAATCGGATGCTAAAGCATAGCAATTTATTTTACAGCTGTCATTAACTGGAGGTTACCAAATTTTATATGTTCTGATGGACTTATCATTTGATTACAGCTAAAGCCCAGATAAGCTGTATCTTTATCAAAAAGATAATGACACATATTTCTCTACGACTCACTGTAAACCAGAAAATTCCCACATTTCCATAAAAAAAACAAAATCATATATAACTCTATAGGCATATCTGCAATCAGCATCAACAATAACAATTTCCTTTCTGCCATTCTACCAACTATGACAACTAATAGTAAAGCTCTTTGGATTAAATGTAGAGTCTATAAATCAATGACAAAAGTAGATCCCAGTCATCCGGTTACTGTATAATATACGGACTGCATTTAGGATGGGCTTATATCCTGTAAATAGCAAAGTTGACGAATTTAGTACATTACATCTGAGAAGAGTGGTACTGCTGAGACTAGTAGTCCTATCTAGTATTGAAATATGTCTGACTGCTAAGATATTTAGTTGTAAGACAACGTAACTGGTGCTGCTGAACAATTACTGCATCTGATAGGATTCAGTTACTGTTCAGCCAGTAATTTTCCACCCAGCTCTGTTCATTTTTAAATTGACTTTTGTCGAGCTGAGTGGTGCTCAAGGGTCACCCTTCATGTAATTTTAGCCAATTCAGCAGGATTTTCCTAAAATTTAAACTGTCCATGGGGGCCTTAACACACTGTTTTTTCTATCTCAATTAATCAGTCTCTGATTCAGAGTATTAAGTAACTCTCTTCTGTGCTGTCTGCTGCTAGTTTATGATCTATATATATATTAGGGATGCACCAATACCGATACTAGCCAAACCAATCAGCATCGAGCCGGCCAAACAGCACGGACCCGGCTTCCTGGCAAGTTATGAAGCCGGGCAGCGGGTAATGATACACCACCTGGCTTCCTGATTGGCTAGGATGCCAGCTCCATGCTAGCGGAAGTACCGGTATCGGTACTCGGTATTGGTAAGTATCGAAAGATAAATATCGGTACTCGTACTCGATACCGAAAAACTGGTATTGGTGCATCTCTAATATATACCCACACACATACACTGAGTGGCCAGATTATTATGACCACCCCATCAGTACTTTGTTGGGCCACGAGTATATATATCTACTGTATATTGCCCCTATCCAATAGCATTTATACCACTAAACAAATGGACAGATCTGAAGATGTATGAATATTCTACAGGTTACATCAGCAATATCATCAAGAAAGCAGAAAGCATTAGGCTGAAGCAATGAGCTCTAGATGCTCTGGACCATAAACCTTGATTTTTTCCAGGTACATACAGCAGGGAGGAGATCAGTAAACACGTGTTCGCTGGTTTCCAGTCCCTCTTTCAGCCACCACACACCATGCCGGGCCAGCAGAAGGGGCAGTGGAGCCCAGGAAACATGGCGGGGGGCAGAAAGGGGGGTTCACATCCAGTCAGTGGAAGTGATCATGCAGCTGTAAAGCCGACAGTAGACTCTACACCAGACTCCCAGCTGCTATAGCAGATGTATGGCATACGTCAGTGGCAACGAAAGGGTTAAAGGAAATGTACAGTGGTTTGGAAAAACTGTATTTTAGTTATCTCTTAAAGTCAGGGCTGTATCCAAAAACATACTGTATATACAGTAAACTCCCTATTACCCGGCATTCAAGCAACCAGAATTCTCAAGCAACCTGAAAATAAAAATCAAGGACATAATATGTGCTCAATTCCTTTTGCCAGTTGCTTGATAGACATATGCACACTAAAAAAAAAATTGTTAGCAACTAAATTTACTTACGAAATTATCTGTTTACTTCTCGCTGCAGCCGACAGCTAGATTCCGCAGCTGGCAGGTGAATGTAAACAAAGGGGAGTGGGCATGTGCAGTAGCCAGCCTGCTATTGGCTATGGCAATTTAAAATAGCCAATAGCAGAATCTAGCAAGCACTGGGAGTTTCCGGTATTTTCTCTGTAGGAATGAAATATTGCATATTAATATGTAGTCCTCTATCCAGCCAGCAGGTGGCGCTGTCTTTCCTCCTTTTTACAGGTGAAAAATTGTATTGCTGTCACATGTTCCAAAAGAAGCCCGCTGTTTACAGGGTGCAGTCTTCAGATCAGTGACATCCCACCTCAGATGACTGAGTTCAGCAATGACTACATTTGTACATATATTTGTGCATACGACAGTGTACATATATATGAAAATAAATTGAAAAGGGAAATTAATATGGAGTTATAGATGGGTCAGGTGGGACAGGGAGGGCTTGATACGGAGCTCAAACAAACTTTTAATACCTTGATACTAGTTGTGCCAGAGGCCATTGAATAATCTGGTTATGAGGATATTACCACATGCTACAATTAGATGTGTATTGTGATCACTTACCTTATACTTACCTTATGTTAAATATTGACAGTTGTTATGTTAAATGGTTGACAGTGTTGGCTCTTTATCCCTCCGGTGATCCCCCCACCTAGGCGGGGGTGTGAGGCATCCTTACAAGCACGGGATCTGGCCAATGGTGATGTAAGTATGGTTGATATTGAACAAGATTGTTATTATGTTGCTTGTTTATATGTATGTATATTCTTTTCATTTATTTTATTGTTATGTTATTTTAGTTTCCACGTCAAACTTCTGAAGAAGCCCGGCTGTAGGGCATAGCACGTCAAGACTTTGTAACGCCTCCTCCATCTACATCTTCTACAAGGGGTATATGGGCTGTAAGTCGTGAATGGAACACCAGGGCTGCGTGTGGTTCTCACCAGGGATGCCTGCTGTGTCTCACCAGGGCTGCTTGCGGGTCTCACCAGGGCTGCTTGCGGTCTCACTAGGGCTGGGTGCGGTCTCACCAGGGCTGGGCCAGGTCTCCCCATGGCTGTGCGGGCAGCGGGGAGTGGGAGGAGATGTTCGGGTGGACTGGCGCCGTAAACAGCCGCCGCGAGTTCCCCAGCAGGCTACCGTGAGGTCCCCAGCAAGCGCGGGACCTTATGGTAGCCAAATTTATTAAAAAATGTAAGGGGCTGGTATTGGCTTTAGGTATCGGGGGCATTTTAACAAGCACAGGTACTCATGAAAATGCCCACGATCGGCACCGATACTGGTATCAGTATCGGTGCATCCCTAATTGTCCCTCTACAACACAAAGTGCCTGAACATAAACTCTCATGGTAGTATCACCAGGTATTATTTTTATGAAAGCAGTAGATCTAAAAATATTGAAAATGTGTACTCCTGTGTAACTCCTGGCATGAAACAAATGTAGAGCCAAAGGAAATGTCACCGCTCCAATTCCTTAGCCACCATCAGGACTCACCAGGTGCTGGTCTAATAGGTACGTTTCCACCTTGGAATGTAGTAGTATACAAACAGACCGCACTATCCAGAGAATTCCAGTACTTCAGACTTTATTGAAATTCATAGCAAATCCAGTATATCCGTAAATAAAAGTGTATAAAGCAGCAAATGCCAGCACTGCACACCCCCAACAAACTACAACCTCACACATGTTTCACCCATAGGCTTATTCATAGATTTGCTGTGAATCTCAATAAAGTCTGAAGTATTGGAATTCTCTGGATAGTGCGGTCTGTTCGTATACTACTACATTCCTGGCATGAAAGTTATCAATTGATAATATACATCAATCGCCACATAAAAAAGGACATAAATCTACTTTTTGGCCACCAAGTGCCTTTGCAGGCCTGGATATTACCTTGCAAAAGAAGTAGTGACATCATCACTGTGTTGTACATAGCCTGTACAGAGAGCAGTAGCCCCCCCAAGCCCCCCACTACAGGTTGCCTGCAGGACACTACAGGAGGGGATGGAGACAAGACCAGTCATCCCATATAAGGAGAGAGACCAGCAGAGAGCGGTCTTTATTACAGGAAGCTCCTGCACAGAGGCAAAGTTTCACACTGGATTACTGCACCGATCTGTAAGAAATACCCAAAGCACACCATAATAAGAATACGCATGGCTCTTGTATTTAGACAATACTTGTTTTTCGAAGAGTTCACCTTCAACATGTTATAACATAAGCGTCAATTAGATTTTAGTGTTTAGGTTTACATGTACTTTGAGATAAGTGATAGTATGAAAACACAAGCAATAGCATGAAAGTAGAAACAACCTTTTATTCTAGTTTCAGAACTACATATAGAAGAGACTAATATGAATATAACAGCAGTACCCCAGAGGTCACAATAGATGACATTCTACTGTAAATACAATGAGCCCACTTGCTTGGGAGGTCCTGAGCTGCCTTCAACCTCAGGGTTAGTCCTTGGCATGAAGTGAAATAAGAAACGGGGTGCCTGTCATGTTAGGAAATGTAAATCTTTTATTATCCCCAATATAGCATTCCAGCAAAATATTTATGTGCTTGACACCTGGAAACAGGAAACAGGATACGCTGCTGCACTGAATTCTTTATTCAACATTTGAAAGGAATAAATAACAGAATAAATCCCCAATAAAAAATACATATTGTAATACTTTGGAATGTTGCAGCTCCCCCTAGTGTGTCAGCATAGTAGTATAGTAGTATAGTAGTGAGTAGTGAGATTACATGTCTTTTCTTCAAACAAAATTAAAAGTGTATTTCAAGTTTTACAATCAAATTAAAGTTAGGCCTGAAGAAAAAAATGTTTAAAACAATAGGCCGAGTGCTTACATGACTAAGTGAAGAGGGAGACGAGAAATAAAAGGGTTAATTAAGGGCAGGGTCACTTACCTAAATGGTCGGTGGTTTAAGTTCATGTGCAGCTTTGGTGGCGGTCTGAGGAGCAGGGTCTCACTGGTTTAGTCGGAGATCATCAGATGAAGAGATAACTTTCTGCCCACCCACCCTGTTTGTTGTTGGCTGTTGTCTGTTCCCTGTCGTAGGGGCGCTGGCCGTTTGTGGTCTTTTGAGGCCGTGCGGACTTTAATGGTTCTGCAGAGACAACATACAGTATCTGTTAATATTTTGGCCCTCAAAAGACTTGCAACCTTATTTGGTTTGTCTTTTGACGTTGAATTCTGTTATGTTTAGTAATTTGTATCATAAAAGGCTGCTGTGGCCATTTAACTCCAGTGACGTGCGGTACCTTTAGTTCGGGGTGAGGCATTCCCTGCCTCACCCCCAGCACAACCCGCCCGATAAAGCCCCACCCCCGCCCGCTGAGCCCCCCTAACCTGGTCCCCAAGCTAGTGTGAAGGAGGGAGGGAGGAGACAGGGAGAAGCCTCCCTGTCCCTCCCTTGCTCGTCACTGCTGAGGCATCGAGATCAATGTTTTTTTTTTGACTGGACAGCTTGGACCAATGGCCTAAAATGGGATTTCAGGTGCGTTTGCATGTATTTTTGATGCGTTCCGTTGCAATCTGATGCAGCTAAAATAGGGCAAGCAGTATTTTTTCTGACTGCATCGGAACGGACTGCACTGGTGTGAACAGAGCACCAGAAATCCCATAGGAAAGCATTGTGATGTATTCCCATAGGAAAGCATTGTGATGCATCGGGTGTGAACTAGCCCTTAAGGAATTGGAGACATCCGTTCTACACTAGTCAAAAAAACTCCCACTATATGTTTGTGTGTTCCCCTTCACACAGCATACCTTAAAAAACTTAAAAACTTTTAGAAAAATCTGACCTTTCTAGTTGTGTCTTTGATGACGGCCTTTGTGCAGAAAAAAGTTCTACTCACCTGATCATTTGAGCCGACTTGTTCTTTGACCAGTCCTTAGAACCTCTTTCCACCTCCTCTGCAGCAGTCTAAGAATCCTTGTGTCATCACGTCCTATACAAGTATATAGACGTGACACTAAGGAGCATTCCATCTGTGCAGCGGCTTCCGTGACCAGGAGGAGGCAGCAGGCCAGGCTTGACAGAGGGCTGTGCAAGATTGCGGTGGGCTCTGCAGGGTCTCAGGGGGGCTGTGCAGGATCTGTGGTGGGCTCTGCAGGGTCTCAGGAGGGCTTTGCAGGATCTGTGGGGTCTCTGGGGGCTGCGCAGGATCTGTGGTGGGCTTTGCGGGGTGTCAGGTGGGCTGTGCAGGATCTGTGGTGGACTTTGCAGCCTGATACCCTGCAGAGCCCACCAGAGATCCTTCACACCCCACCTAAGTCCCCGCAAAGCCCATCACAGATTGGCCACAGCCCACCATAAACCCTGCAGAGCCCACTATAGATCCTGCAGAGCCCACCATAGACCCCGCAGAGCCCATCTGAGATTCTGCAGAGCCCACCTAAGACCCCAGCTTTCCTGCTACGCTAATAGCGGAACATGTCAAAAGCTGGAAACAACGCATTCTCTGTATCCAGCGACTGACAGGTTGCGCAAAAAAAGGGGTGGGGAAAATTTAGTGGGGGGGCAGTGCCTGAGTTTCGCCTTGCCTAGGGCAGTCCCAAACCAAAATACACAACTGGCCAGAGGGCCCATTTGCAGGTATGATGTGGGGGTTGTTGTGGTTCTTATCTACTCTATCTGAAACAATGGTGTTTAGTTTCCTTAGCAGTTTTCTGTTCCTTCCATACAGGGCCGGTGCAAGGATTTTTGCCTACTCAGGCGAAGGAGCATTTTTGTGGTTATAGTAATAATACTATGTTCTCATGTTATCAATGAACAGGAACACTCAGTATAGAGGATTCCTGTTCATTGATAAGGGGGGCTGCAGAAAGAGAGATTGAGGCCTCTGTGTCCTCAATCTCTTTTTCTATTTTAAAAGGGAAATATCAGGGGTCTGTTTAGACCCCTACTAGCTAGAAATAAGCGACGCACTGGGCTCAGGAATAAGCGACGCACTGGGCTCAGGAATAAGCGACGCACTGGGCTCAGGAAAACAGTGGACTTAGCAGTAAAAACAGAAGAACACTAAGGCCTTGTTCACACCGAAAGCGATAGTGCTGGAACGCACCGCAATCGCTCACGAAACTTCCCCCTGCATTCTGGGGCGGGAGGGGGTGTGGTGGTGCATTGAATTCAATAGCACCGATTCCACGCCCTCCCTCCCCCCCGCAGTGCAATCGGATGCTTGGCGTTTTGCAGTTGAACGGAACGCAGGCAAAGTTTTGCCAAGCGTCCGATCGCACTGCGGGCGCAGCGGAGGCCTGGAAGCAGTGTCATTGACTTTAATGCACCCCTCCCACCCCAGAACGCAGGGGGAAGATCACGGTGCGTTCCAGCAGCTACCACTCTGGAATGCACCGTTTTCGGTGTGAACAAGCCCTCCCCAGGCCCACCAACCTGCTTCTTGCTGTCTCCTTGGTGCAGCCTCAGCCTGGTCCCTGGTCAGATGCCCACACTGGAAGAGCAGGAGGACAGCAGCGGCTATGAACATAAAAGCTGCTTGCTGTCCACAGTGACAGCCCTCCATGCCGCCAGGCGCCGCAGCAGCAGCAATTACCATCAGTCAGTGGGCCTGGGGCGGACTCACATCTCACTCGGCCCGGTACAGCCCCGCTTCCGGTCCCGCCTCAGCCCCTCCTCTTCCTCCACCCGGCCGTTCTCGCAGCTAAATGTTTTCCTCCACCCGGCCTAATCTGATTGCTAGGCAGCCGAGGCTGCCAGATTCTGTGCGGTCCGGCCGCAACCATCAATATTAGCTTTTCACCCGCAACCCGCCGCCCATCTGCAAAGTGCCACCCTCACCCCATCAGCGCCCTCAGGCGGCCGCTTGCCTTGCGGTAGCGCCGGGCCTGCTTCCATACACACCTCCAGTTTCTGGGGATCTTACATGGCCATTTTTTTCCTGATCTCTATATAACATTTCCTCCATTTCAGCAGTTAATGGCATTGCAGTCCTGTTGTATTATTTACCCCACCTTTGTTTTTTTTATATCTCTGTTTTTGTCTGATTATGGAAGGTGAAATGATCTGTAGTTGCAGTTGGTTGCCCATTATTTACAGAGCAGACAACATGAGTAGCTAAGCTGATGATACTATGACTAGTGTCCCCATTGGAAGATTTCCCATCTATTCCTGTTCTGATGACAACCCAAAATTTGGAATGTTCTTTCACTTTCAGTGGTAATGGTCACCAGGAAAAGTAGAGAGAGTGACTGTCCCTAACGGGGACACAGACAGCAAAAAAAAACCGACAGCTGTTTGAAAAAGAAAAGTTCACTGTGAGTGCTGAACCTCCAGACTGTGTATTTAAGCTCAGGGTGCAATGTCTATGGGGAGGACATGGACAGTGTTCAATATACAATTTGTGTGGTGGGAGTATGTGGTTGTAGACCAAGGAGTTTCTGGAAGAATGTGTGCTGGAGAAGGGATAAAGCAGAAAGGCCAATGTATGAGTGCTGGAGCTGGGCTCTCGTTGGGAAAAGACTAATATGTGTGCTGGAGGCCAGGGGTGCCTCGACGCTGGTAGTCAGCCGGGGCAAAGACCGGGTGACACCCTGCCGTGATGTCATCGCGCATGCGCGGTGGTCTTATTGACACCTTGGTGATGGACGCCGGCAGAGAGAGGAGGTGACGTTCACCCGGTGGGATAAGGTATGCCGCCGGGTCTCCTCCTCTCTCTGGACACTGTCGGGCTCTCGGTCTGTGACTGAGTGCCCGACTCTTCATAGGGGGTAAAACCCAATAGATGGTCACTCGCACTCCAATTTGATGCAAAGTCAATCCCTTTATTGACTAGAATAGTGTCAATAAAGGGATTGACTTTGCATCAAATTGGAGTGCGAGGACCATCTATCGGTTTTGTGCTGTTGGCAGAGGCATCTGCGGTCACCCCCCCCCCCCCCTTGTGACACCCC